TTGCCTTAGACTTAGCCCTTGTGGGTGGAGATGCTCTTAGTAGTACTCTCCTACCCAAAGAACGAAACATGACAGGCCGGTGCCAGGCCCATACAATCGATACTTTGTAAACTGCCTGGTTGGTTGTGCTTGTGATGAACACAGCCACGCAGGAACTAGCAATTGTAAGCTGCATAGACAAAAAAAAAGGCTGCTGCACGTCACCATTTCTTCATCTTCTTTTTTAAGTGTTTTACAAAAACACAAAAGAGAGGAAAGAATTTCACTCAAATGAATGGTCAAGAATCAGGAAGAAAGTGCCCTGATACATTATGAATTGCTAACAACTGGAGTTGCGTTGAGTCAGTCAGGATCCTGAAGCAGGACGTTTTGAAGCATATTGGGGGTGCTTTGCTTCTTTCCTCCCTAGTTTTAAATTGCTTTTGAATTAGAGAGGAAAAATGTCGTTCAATTTTAATTGGGTTAGTTTTAAAAGATATGAGACTAAATACAAATGCCTTTCGCCCTTAATCAACATTTCATAAGTTTTACTAGGGATGTCTCTCAAGAGATGTGAAAAATCTACTTAAAAATATGACAGCCCTCACCTCATCTAGTAAAATTAAAATGAGACACTGGACAGGATGACAGTGACACGGTGTGGTCCAAAATCACACTTAATTGTTTATTTTTATTTTTAACTACAACTATAGGGATTAGCTTTCAATCAAAAATAAAGTATTGATGTAGCTAAAAATTGGTAGTTGATTCCAAGAACAAGGCTAGGCTCGTTGTAATATTCAAAATCAGGTTCGGATAGCTTTCTCACCTTGGCTTCGGAAAGCCGTTGTGAAACCGAACCTCACTCAGAACATACATACTTTGCCACTTTGCTTTGCTTTCCTCTTTGTTTTCCCTTCCTTTCTTCTCTCTCTCTGTTTGCTCAGAAGAACCCAACTTTTTGCTTCACAGCGACAAAAGAAATAAAATTAGGGTTTTATTCGATCTTTACTCTTCAGCCATTTGATTAGTTTCCCTCCCAGATTTCAAAAAGTACAGCCATTTGTGCTTTTTAAAAAACTCTACTTTGCGGTCTTTTAATCCTCCGCAATTCACTTGCTTGTTTGTTTAATTTCCCAATTCCCATCTGGGTTCTTTTCAATTGAAGTGCTTTGTCTCCCAGAAATCTCTGTTTTTCATGTTTGGACCACATTTCTTGAAAACCCAATTGTGATTGTTGAAGTTAAATTAAAGTTTCAAACGTAAGAAGTGAGAGAATGGCCAAGAGATCTTCTTTGGGTAGCATGATGCGGAAGAAGCTAACCGACATCACTAATTTGCAGACTGCGAAAGCTATTAGCCAAGATGAAAAGCCCCCAGAAGATTGCCCTATTGATAAGGACTACATTGACCAGCTCATGAGGGTAAAATCTCACTTGGGTCCTCTTCGATTTTTATTCTTTTCGTATTTTTTGTTAGATTTTCTTAGTGGGTTTTGTGTTGTGAACTTCTGAAACAGGAAAGAATGACTTTGATGAGACTTGTCTCGGAAAGGAAGTATCCTTCTATTGTTCTTCAATTTTTATTTTCTGTTTGGTTACTGAGATTGTGCCCCGGGAAATTGAAGTACAAGAGTAGGTTGAAATAGAAACGATGACACTCAAAGTTGTTCCCTTTTCTTTGGTATGTCTTGGTTTTGGCATGTTGCTCAATTTTTCTGAGATGGAGAAGGGTTTTCCTTTAATTATATTTGAACAGTAAAATCGTTGAATTAAGTGGAGCTGAGTTGCAGAAACTGCGGATTAGTCTTCAGAAATTGCAGCAACAAAATTTGAATCTTGCTCAATCAAACAGCCGGATGTTAGCGGTGTGTTTTTCACATTAATCTTAGTGCCTAAACTCTTTTCTACATTAATCTTAGTGCCTAAGTGTCTCTGGTAATTACTCTCTGTTATTGATTCTACAGGAGCTTAATTTAGGAAGAGAAAAGGTACGCTTGTCAATAACTGAATGTAGGTACTATGTTTGTGAAGTCCTCACTTCTCATAATATCTTAGACTTCTTTCTTTGTCAATACCAGGTAAAAACACTACAGCATGAACTTCTTTGCAGGGATGCCTTACTTAAAGCAAAGAATCTAGAAATAGAGGTTAGCCCTTATCTAGCATTGTATATAAATAGGAATGCAATCGAAATCTTGACTTTTAAGTTCAGTGGAACTAAAACCAATACCAATTTTTTACATACATTGTGTACACTATATATCTGCTGGAACTGTTACTGCAAGTTTTCCTGCTGTTTACTTATATATTCTTGAGTTTTTATGGATAACTAATGGCAATTTACTTATATAATTTAGCTTTACTTTTATAACTCCTTCTCACTCCTTTTCTTCTCCGGCTTGTTTGTTGGCACTCAAAAATAGCTGCGACTATTACTGATCAGAAATTCTTCCACTTCTGATTCTGAAATATTTATCAAATGCTTAAATTTTTATAATTCATCATGATGGATAGAGTTGATCTCTGTTTCCTGCTTTTTCAATAAGCATTCCCCAAAAGCAGGCTTGGAAACTGTCCCATGCCTATTTTGGTGTTTCTACATCTGTTCTAAGGATAACTTTATACTGTTGTTTCTTTCTTAAGTAATTGTTTGCTTACTTAATAGAAGCGTTAGTTAAGCCTTGTTGTTCCACTTCTAGCACAAGGCCTTGTCTTCTAGTAACTTCCTGTGCATACAGTTCCTATAAAAATAAAAAATAAAAAATAAGAAAAGTAAACTGAAAATAACCAGCAACAATGTTATAGTATATGCTATACAATGATGAAGTTGAGAAGAGTAAATGCCAGTATTTAGAAGCTACTACACTAACTTCTTCACCTGCTCTGCATGTATGAGCAGCAATCAGTGACCTGTTCTGCTTTAGGAAATCTGATTCTGTTGTCATTCTATATGAAGTCATGCCTTGAGTCAGAGGTTTCAATTCAATGATATTTTTGTTTGATTCTTTTATAATATACCCCTCATATTACAGGGAAAAGCAGAGAAATGTCAAAATACTGAGTCTCAGGTATCTCAGGTAACCATTCAGTTATGAATTTGTATGTAGTTAAAGCCCTTACATTCTATCACTTAACCTCATTTATTTTTCCAGCTCAAGGAAGTAGATGAGGCAGCTTTGCATAAAGCTGATAATGATGGTGAACCATGTAATGACAACAAAAGACGCGTCACAAGAAGTCGATGTAAACTTTGATGATCTAATTTTCTCATTGGAATATTTCTTTCTCTTCCCCTTTCTGTTGCACCGAACATGTTAACATTTGCGCTTGCGAATTCTTGCAGCAATGGGGCCGTCTACTGCATGCCCAAAGGTTGAGAATAAAGAGAAGGTTGAAAATAAAAGGTTAGTTCCCGAGTGGTGTTATGTTGATTTTACAACCCTCTACATAGTCCTGATCATGTATTTCTGAAAATGGACTCAGATATGGACACTTCAAATGCCATTAGCCTATCTGTACTACAGTCTACATCCCTGTAGATAGTCCCGCATCATGTATTTCAGGATGCACTTTTGCTAGGAATTTTAACCACCCCTAGGACTTTTCTTCAAGCTGCTCCACCTATTGGATCAAGAGTTCCACTAAGTCTCCTCTCTCACCATGTTTCTTTTCCACCTTAAAAGATTATCACATTATGTGTGTCTTAACCGAACTGTCGGCTCTGGTACTACTTATAGAGCAACAAAACAACATGGGATTGGTACTAATCTCGATCCAGCACTGGTATGGTCCCCAACTTAGCCACTGTAGGGATTTATCACAAAAGAATGTCTTGTTAATAGTAGTGGACCACCCACCCAACTTATATACGTTGTAGATTTATCACCCTTCTTTTCTTTTTCTTTTTTTTGGTCTGAATTATCACCTTTCTTATGTAGGATTATCTCCATATCCATGGGGTCTATCGAGCCACATAACTCCAACACTTTGAGTATTAATTATTGTGTCAGACATTTAATAAGTAATAGCATGATGTTTGTCATATGTAATATGTGCCAAGTTATTACATACGCTTTCCATTAATGCATGTTTTTCATTGTTCAGGCGGTGTTTGAGGAGGCAATCTGCTAGGTTTAGGTCCCAGACAGAGAACTTATTTGAGATAGAGGATGTCAAATTTCCAGTCAGTCGCACACCAGACAATCCAATGGGTAATAGTGGTCCGACTCCATTGATTTCATGTACCAGTAAAGAAGAGAAAGAAAACTGTGCCCCAAGGAGATCTTCAGTCGGAAGACCACCGCGCAAAGCAGCTGGGAAGGTTCATTCCTACAAAGAAGTTCCTCTCAATGTAAAATTGCGTAGAGCAGAGTGAGCAGAAGAGCAGCATCTGAATTTTGAGAATACCAGTGAGTTGAAAAGGGCTTGTATAATTCAAAAAAAAAACAAATATAAAAGAGCTTGTACAACTAGACCAATATATCCACATCTTTATGTATCTTTTAACTTGTGGTGTTGCCAATAGGATCTAGTCCAGTGAAAAAAGAGACTTAATTTGCATATGAATGGTCTCAGGTTCGAACCCACATGGCATCATGATAGTGTGTGTGTGTGTGTGTGTGAGAAACCCTCCTCCCTCTTGTAGTTTAGACTATCGCTTGTATTCCAAAAAAATAAACTTGTGGTGTTGTTCATTGTGATGTCGTTCTTTTATTCCAATGTGATGATTAATATGTAAGCAACATTCAGTTTTTCTAATGGGAAAAAAAAAATTATTATCATTTATTGGTTTTTGTATAAAAGAAGTGACATCTACTACTACTGTGAAAATTTTATATGAAAATCTTATAATTAATATAATAAAAAATGCACCCAAAATTCTACACCGTTCTTTCATAAGTAATTGAGCACCCAAAATTCTATTGTATTAAAGTATCTTTCAACTTTATTTGTACCTGCACACAAAATTTTTGAAAAAATATTTTACCACACATACATTGCAAGCCAGTTATCCAAAAAGTAAATTTAGGTTTTAGCCAAAAAAAAATTTTCACTTTTGGAAAAAGCCAAAGCTTTTTCAAAAAAGACAGAAAAACCTCTCAACTTTCAAATCAAAGACATGCAAATGTATAGGATTTCTTAGGAAATCCAAAAATAAATAAGGGCAATTTTGTCCATTTTAGCTTCTTTTACAAAATTTCTCTCTTCTTTGTATTTTTCCAAAGTCTCCCAAGTTTTGTACTTGGGACCTTCTGACTTGGACTTGATTTCTCGACTTTTGAGTTTAGATGCGGATTCGATCTAAGCCTCGGACTCCCATATCAACCAACGTTAAAATAAAATTTTATTTTTAAAAAAACAAAGTAATTAAATAAATAAATAAAGGGCAACTCTACGCTATGACCATGCGAAAACGCCAAAAATTAAAATTAAGGTATCATAGGAGCAGCACCCGTCCGTTGGATCCAACGGCAATGGATTGACCAAAAAAAAGGTTAAAGGCGATGGCTTCCTTCGTGGTTGTTTGACCAAATCTTTGACCAAAATTCAATTCAATTAGGAAAACTCTCTCTCTCCAACGGGTTTCTTTGTTTCCAAGTAACTCAGCTTATAAATATACACTCTTGCGCACTTCACTTGAACAAGAACAGTCTTCCTCCTTTGGGCAAGAGTTAAATCAAGATTATGTGGTTCTTTGCACGGATCAGCAGTGCATATGAACACGTCCAGCGAAGGGAAATCCGATTCTTTGATAACCCTTTTTAGGTTTTCGGGGAATTCGTTACGGTAAATCGGTGTCATTCGACAAGATTGTGTGGTGAAGGTCTTTTCTCCAACTCTCTCTTTCTCATGGCTAATTCTGGCGTGACACAGCTGCTCGGCTTCCGGTTCCGCCCCACGGACCAAGAAATCATCGGCTCCTTTCTCTACAAGATGGTGGTGGAGAAAAGGCCTCTGACCTCGATGCCGCAATACAACAAGGTTATCCACAAGTGCAACCTCTTCGGCAACAATCGAGAACCCTCAGAAATTTGGAGAGATTACGGAGGAGATCAACTTAAGGATCAAGACTTGTACTTCATTTCTGAGCTCCAGAGAAATGGTTTGCGCATCCAACGCAAGACTGGCCGCGGTACTTGGAGCGAAACCGAAACCTACCAAAATGTTGATGTTATAGGGAGAAAACGGAAATTCCGGTACGAGAACGGGAATGCTTCGGAGGACCACGCGGTGTGGCTTTTGGATGAATATAGCCTTTTCAGAAAGGCTTCCAAGAACGGCACAAGTAGTAATTGCTATGATTTTGACGTTGTGATTTGTCGGCTGAGAAGGAAGGGCAATATGGACAAGTCTGGGAAAAAGAGGAAGTGCTCGTCTCAAGATCAATCAAACAAGAAGATGAAAAGAGATCAATCTACAAAGGAGATGAAAACTGAAAATTCAGTGGGGCCGCAGATTATGAATGATGAGAGGAATCAGTTGATGATCAACGAGAGTACCACTTATGATCAAGAATATTTGATCGACACCAATTATAAAAGCTTCGACATTGATCAACTCTTTACAGAACTAGACCGCGAACCGCCATTGTTACACTCGCAGCAACTGCCTCAGATTGCTGAAAGCCAAGAAGAGCCTTGTGTTGATCAAATTAACGGACCAGCGGAAGCAGCCACCAGCAATCTGAGTAATTTTGAGTATAATAGCGATGAACTTGCAGGATTAATAGGGCAATATAATATGAATGCCGATGATTATGAGGATCCAAATTTATTTATCGACGTCGATGAACTATTGGCAGCAGATGCAGAGCCTTTGTCAACCTTTGCAGAGCTCGATGATGTTCATAATGTGGTCAGCCAACCATTAGACCAAAACGGCTACTGGTCCAATTCCTTTATGGATCAGACTTACAATTCCTTTATGGAGGAAATCATGGCTGATTAATTAGGTATATTGTACAAGTGTAACTGGCTGTAAGTTTAGATGTAATTTTTTCACGAACAGGCGAAATATACATCCTTTATTCTGCAGTAAACTATGTGACAGATATTAGACTGCCATTTACTTTTCTCCTATGTTCGTTTGGTTTTAAATTGCTTTTGAATTAGAGAGGAAATAAAGTTATGAGACTAAATACAAATGCCTTTCGGCCTTAATCAAGACCAGATTAATAAGACTCCACAGAACCAGCTCGATTGCTCAGCTTATTATTCATACAACTTCCATTTTTAAGTAGTCAGCCTTTTCCTCTCAAAGCATATGGAGGCAAAAGGTGCAAACTCTTCCCTGCACCAACAGTGAAAGAATGAACTCTTGAGAACTCCTAAAAGCTTGACATAGTTATATCACTTATCATAGCAGAGAACACCGTAATGAATATTGCTATTTGAACCACATTTATGGATCACTGATATACGAATCTAATTAGTAGATGTTGTGCAAATAGTTTTACTCGTACCTTAATAGCGGACTGAGCCAACCCCCGTCTCTTTGTTCTAGTACTTGGGGCAGGTCATTGTGGTGAAGTGTCACAAATGGCTCTATTCCTGCATGGTAGCAGACTTAGATGACTAAACGTTGTTTAATTTGGCTACTAACTTACTACTTACTTAGTAAATAGTGCTCATGTATGCGCAGCTACCTTTGCTTAGAAGATGGTCTATAAGTTTATTATAAAAGATGATCCCTCTTGGCTTGACTGAGCCGAGCATCCCATCTGTGAATGGCTCAAGAAGATCATTTCCAATTTAAACTAAGTTGTAAAAAGCCCAGATTAACAACAGAACAAATCAAACAAAAACCAAGATTAAACCATAAACCAAATTAAGATAACACAAAACGGGCACCGTACCAGGTAGAATTCTAGCCCAGGAAATGGAGAACCGGTATGCATTTGTTCCTAAGGAATGCATACCGGAACCAAAGATTGCCATCATGCATTGCTGCTGCTACTTCGGAACTCTTTGATTCAATTCCACAGGCATCACAGTCATCTAAACCAACCTCATGAACAATTTCCCCAAATACCTTGCAGGAAATGTTGTTTGCAAGCAAGGTTCCATTCAAACAAGATCCGGGATTAGTATCCTGGTACTCTCATATGACACCAATATCTCAACTTATCACTCTTCAAATTATTCTGCTCTACTCAAGTATCTTGTTGGTAATCGCTTTTGTCATTTTCAATCTGTAACTGAGGAACACCAGAGCAACTTTCAACAGGTGAGTTGCAATCTTTGGTTCCGAAATCTTTGGGCACAATTACGTCTTTTATCACAGAGCCACCCTCAACTTGTACTTTCATGTTTAGCTTGGACGTGAAATCTCCCACACTATCCAATTTCAAAGAACAGCCTTGACAATGAAGCTGAAAGTCATTCCTTGAAGTTGACTGTGAGTCCAGGATGTAACTCTCAACCAGTTTTCAGATACTGATGCAATATTATCCACATTCTGGGACTCCACTATTTCTGCGACGTTAGAACTGAAATCAAGCATACCATGTGGTATTAGGGAAAGGGTTCTGGAAATTTCTGATTCACTTCTGCAGGCACCAGTTCCTTCTGTTTCTTTTGAATCAACAAATTGAAGAACATTTTTCTGCTGGGATTCTTCAGGGAAAATACCCAAACACAATCATTTAAGTGCAATTTATTTTCCTGGAAAACCTGTCCTCCAACATAGCAGGAATTTGGAAGGTCTAGCTGTTCAGGTTTTTCGTTTCCACAATCAGTTATCACCACTTGACAATTTTCTAGAGCTGAACTGCTCAGGTCAACATCATTCATGTCATCTATTATCTTTCCACCTAAAGCCAGCATTTGTGCATCTTCCACATGTGGGTTCCTACTCTTTGTGTTAAATCTACTACCATCATCTTTTGCTTGGTTTTTAATTCTAGAGTCAGACAAAGCATCAGACCTTTTCAAATCAGATGCACTAGAACTTTGGACCTTTGGACTGACATCTGCAACCTTCACAGAACTGTAGCTCTGGATCTCTTCAGAAACTTGACATTCCTTGGTGAAACTACCCGTTTTCCCATATCATTTGATCCCCATCAGAAATTTGGTTGCCTTCACAGGTCATAGGTTTAAGCAGATCAACTCGTGCCCCATGCAGTTCATTGACATTATGATCACTGCTTGACTGATCATCCTATGATATTAAGACACTACCAGAAGAACTTGCCTCTTCTTTGACTACTCCAGCAGTTTCAGGTGAAGCAGTCTCACTTTCTTTCCATGTCAGGTGTTGTTGTCTCATATGCAAGAAAAAAGCACAGTAAGAACGCTACTAAAACCAGTATTTGAATCCCACCCAGGTGGTAATGATGAGTTTTTCTAATGACCTAAAGTTCATTGTCATTGGGCTTTGGTATTTGAAGCTGAGCAGATATGTTCTGTAGCACAAGTAGAAGAATATGAAGAAGGCCAGATTCATTGCCTAACTCAACTCTAGCTATAGTTATCACAAGAAATGGAAAATGAATATATTACCCAAAGAACTATGCACCATTAAATTTTCTAATGCTAACAAGTTCAGTCATCAAAGTTGAAGTGCATGTCCTCTATAAATTTGATTGTTTATGAATTTCTACTCCTGCTCGAGATACAATAACATAAATGATAAATAAACGCCGCACTGACCTGATTTGCTGTTAGCAGCACTCTCCTACTAGAATTTGATCCCCGGGCGGGCACCAACTACACATGTTCAAGCATGGCTGCAGGGTTCTCCAACATACTTTACATACATAAATACATTTACAATTGCAAACATGCTTGCAGGCTCCAATTGCATTTGCAACAATGGTTAAACATCTTTCTCAAAAGCTTGATTCCCTTTTTCTTTGGATACCCTTTTCCACGATTAAACAACTATAGATTTGATAAGTGACTGATAGGAATGCTCCCAACAATTTTTATTAAGCACAATGCAGCACACACACAAACGCAATCCAATAACACAATCTTGACAGCTAAACTATATGAGCTGCAACTGCTTGTTTTCAACTCTAATGAAAAATCAGATGTTAGGTACAACGATTGATGTATTCATCCATGGATTGTCAATCCCCATTCAATTAAATTAGGCGCGCGCTTAAATATGATATTCTATCATGGATCACATATACATATATATGCCAAAATTTTATCTAAATCAGTAAGATATCTTCCAATTGTCAACATTCTATCAGGCGTGAAAAACTTCTCCAACTAATCTTAATATTTCAGAATTAAAATTGTATAAGAAAGAGGAAATGCCAATTGGACTTCCTAGTCTAGTTCCTTCCAGATTCTTCTACAGTTATCCTATTTCTAGTCTAGTACTTCAAGAACAACACTATTGTTGTGCATCATGGATAGACAGAGAGCAACAGAGGCCCAATCCACACCACTTTTCCAAAACCAAGAAACAATTGGAGAAAAAGCCTAATTGGTGACCCACAGCCACCAAATCATATCTAATTAGACGTATTTCCTAACATTCAAGCTTAATTAAAAATACATAAGTTTAAAAATTAAAAAAATTTAAAAAAAAAAACAGATGATTTGATAAACCTTTTCTTGAGCCAATTTCGGCAGGTTAGGAACTTCCTCCACCAATCAAGCTTTGGTCCGTCGAATCTCCACATTGGTTGCAACCGCCACATCCCGATTACTCACCCATCTCGGCTTTCTGCACATTTCAGCACACAATCAAACACCAGGCACTCAAATCTTTCCGTTTCCCCTGTCTCTCCGTTGTTACATTTTCTCGGCAACCAAACAGAAACAATGGAATGAAGAACAGACGAGATTCAAACAAACCTGAAGAGCAGCTTAGATTTTGTGTTTGACGCCAGCGTAGACGAGCGAAGGCATCGTCGCCGTAAGGGTTGAGGTCGCGCTGCTTCTCCAAGAAGAAAATATCCCGGCTTTAGAGAGAGAGAGAGAGAGTCTCTCTCGTCTCGTTCAGGCATTGCATCTCTCTCTCTCTCTCCTCTCTGTGCCCTGTGAATTTTCTATGCTTTTTCATGTTTGGAGAAGGATGGACACGAAAGGGCGACTTCATTCAGAGTCTTTTCGGCGGGTACACATCCCATTGGCCATTTCCATTTCCCCACTTTTTTTCAAATGATATGATTTAATTAGCTCATATGTGTGTGTGTGTGTCTCTCTCTCTCTATATATATATATATATATATATAGTTCCCTTCTATTGAGGGATCCCTCAAATGATTTTATTTGAGGGACGCCCTTTAGGGTACCCTACAATTTTTTTTCCAATGATCAAAACCATCTATTTTTTAGGTCTTCATTCATAGATCATCCTTACAAAAAATTAGACAATTTGGAAACCGTTTCGACATTCAATTGTGTCCTACAAAATCAATGAACATGGTGCTTCAAGAAAGTATTAAAATTTCAATAACTCAATTGAATGATCAAATGATATCGGATTCAAGTGATTTTTTGTAGAGATGATCTTTGAATAAGTATCTACAAAATAGACGGTTTGGATTAGTGAAATACAATCCGGAGTGGGGCCTACAAGGGGTGTCCCTCAAATGAAGTCGCCCTTTCGTGTCCATCATATATATATACAGAGCTTCCATTGAGGGATCCCTCAAATAAGCTTATTTGAGGGACACTCCTTGTAGGCCCCATTCCGGATTGTATTTCACAAATCCAAACTTACTATTTTGTTGATACTCATTTAAAGATTATCTCTACAAAAAATCATTTGAATCCGATATCATTTGACCACTCAATTGAATTATTGAAATTTTAGTACTTTCTTGAAGTACCGTGTTCATTGATTTTGTAAAACACAATTGGATGTCGAAATAGTTTCTGATTTGTCTAATTTTTTGTAAGAATGATCTATGAATGAATACCTAAAAAATGGATGGTTTGGATCATTGGGAAAAAAATTGTAGAGTACCCTAATAGGCGTACTTCAAATAAAATTATTTGAGGGATCTCTCAATAGAAGGGAACTGTATATATATATATATATATATTACATATTATTCTCTCTGCATGCACTTCGCCGCTTGCTGCCATTTGGGTTTGTAGGGTTTGTTGTTTCTTCTTTGTGCATTATGTCCCCCAAGATGGTTCAAAAGTTTGGGTGAAAAAGCTCTCTCCTTGTGGGATAGATACACTTAGAAACATCAATGATTCTCTTACCTTCCCTTTGGATGAAAAAATTGAAAATTACATAGAATTCTAAAATGATGGAATTTTGATTTCCATCATTTCAATGTCTGGTAATTTAATATTTCGATATTTGGATTTATATATGTTAAATTTTGTAAATGACATAATTTTGTAAATGACACTATGGAAATTATGAAATGATGCTTATTTTGATGAAAATTAAAGTCGGGAATTTGATGCTCCAATTTCCACGATTTTTTCCGTGCGTCATTTAATAAATTCTAAGCTTAATTTGCCAAACAAGGGAATTGTCAATTTCTTCTCGTAAATTCCCAACTTTTAACTAAATTTCGAATTGTTTTCCCTCATCCAAACGAAGGGTTAGAGTTAAATTTGTCATTAATTATATTAAGAAAAGACTTTCATGTGTGTGTGCCAAGGGGCTAGTGTTAAGAGAAGACTTTCAAAAAAACTAAATATATGAAAATTAAAAATATAAAATATCTTCTTTTTTTTTTTGTGGGATTGTATCATGTTTAGTGTCACATCCCGGGATCGGCTCCGTTGTAGCACGATATTGTCCGTTTTAGGCCCCCCTCTGCCCTCACGGATTTGTTTCTAAGAACTCACAAGCAACTTCCTAGTGAGTCAGCTATCCTGGGATTGCTCTAACCCCAACTCGCTTAATTTCGGAGTTCCCATGACTCCGAAGCCAATGAGCTCCCAAAAAGCCTTGTTCTAGATGGAGATGGGCATGTACATATGAGGCACATCACTCCCTCTCCGTTAGTCCATGTGGGATGTTACATCTGATACCTAAGAGCATCTACAATGATGCTCTCTATTTTTTAGTTAAAATTTAGCTAAAAACACTATAAATTAAAAAATATTTTAAAAAAACTATTTTAGGAGCTCTCTATAAAATTTGAACTCCAATCATACTCTCTAATTTAGGGAATCATAAATACTATAATTATTTTTAATTCAAAATAATTGGTCCATCTCTTATAAAAAAAATAATTAGCATTAATTACAAGTTTAAAATATGAATAGAACAAACAGCATTAAATTATAGGGAGCCACAAGCAATTATTTTTCTCTCAAAATTAGGAGCTCTTAGAGGTCTCCATATTTTAGAAGGTGAATAGGGAGCATGGTTGGAGTAATAATTTTTCAATTCCTCCCTAAAATTTATCTAAGGAGGTGGTTTAGGAAAACCATTAT